GAGCTGGGAGAGAGCTGACTCTGGGAGTTGTGTAGTGACACTGGACTGGACCAGACGTAGCATTTTGACCAGGTAAAAGTACATTAGTTTAGTGATGGCTAGAATAAATAGCATTTGTGCATAGTATCTTTGATAGGCTGTGTTTCCAGTTAATGTTTCAACGAGATAGTGTAGAGTTAATGTTCCTTGTATAGTAGACATTTCATGCAGTATTTGTTTGAGCAGTTAGTAAAGGTGTGACACGCATTGTTAATGGCGGTAACACTGCCCAGTCACGCTTAGGCCATACACCTTAGGTGTGCCGCTGAGTCCTGCGTGGTAATAGATGGCGGCTTAGTTAGCACTGATAAACTGTTAGTTAGGAATTGTGTTCTTGAGGATCCATGGGGACCGGCTTGGGTTGACCAGTGAATGTAAAAGCTGCTCAACGCCAGCGGTTTTGGATAAGAACTGCCTACTTAGTTGAGGTGTCTATAGCTGTATTGTTCATTGTACATTCAAGATTATGTTTGTACTCAGCAGGTGCGTGTTTTAAGTGTGTCCAGGGTAGTGAAGTCTGTTAGCTGGCCTACATAACGAGCCATTTAAAATTATTATAGTAAATTAGGTCGCTGACAGTAGTTGGCTAAACGGGATTGGGCGGTGACCGGGTGACAAACTCATTGTAGTCCAGGTTCACTCCCGGGGGTAGGCAGAAAAGCCACATTTTCTCCCAGATTTATTGTATTTACAATGGAATCAAGGCCGAAAGGTTGCGATATTCATAGCTTCTGGATACTAAAAACAAAATCCCTACTAGATCCAACCAAATATACATGAAGCAAAAGAAAAACCCCCAAGCCTGAGTGTTAACTCATGCATTCTCAAACCACCTGACACAAATTATCAATAGATACAGATAGATATTCCTGATTAAATATAGAGTTGAGAGAGTTAATGTCTATCAAGATACATGGGCAACATATGGTCTCTAGAATACTGCCCAGGCTTGATGCTTTGAGAGGAGAAACTTCATCTCTGGTTTGAACTTGTCTAGAAAACACTCGCCATCACTCAAGATTTGATTTCAATGCCTCACCATAGCACAATATAAGACTATCCTCTGAAAAGATGGGACATTTCTGTCCCATTTCTTCTTTTCACAATCTATGCCGTGTGTGTGTGGCGATGTGTCTGTGTGGGAGACAGCCAGCTGTCTGAACAGAGCTTACACTGACTGAAATTAAGGTAATTAAGTAATAAAGAAACTGTTTTTTCCCCCAGCATTCTATCTCCTCTGTTCCTCTGTATTGCAGAGAGCTCCTTCTCTTCTTCTAGCTCATAGGAATATTCAAAGTATGTCTAAACAGTAGAAACTTCAGTCACAAGTGATATTGGAAAAAGGTACTAGGCTGGAAGAGAGGTCGGACTGGTAGGTTACTCCAATTTAACATTTTATTAGACAAAGCTGTCTTGGACATTAAAGCCCTCACGTGTGAGAGAGCCCATTCAAAAAAATGTAATGAAAAAACATTCCCCTCTCCAAGCTCAGAAAACAGTGAGACCAACATCAGATCTTGGTGTATAATGATAGGCATTTCAGGATGTAACTAGATCGTCATTCAGTACAACACAGTCTTGACTTACTGAAATCAGGCCTAGGTTGATCACGTTTTTGCCAAATAAATATGCTACAACAGTATGAGGGCTGTGCCATTCAGAGAGCTGTAACAAACTATTGAATTTAAAACTGCCTACCAAAAGCACACACTGAATGCTGGGGTTGGTCTGTGAGCCCTGTGAAGGATATTCAGCTTCACTGTCAAGACAATCCAACCCAGTGGTCTTTTTTTTTCCCCTTTCCTAGCTTTCTCCGGCTGTAAACTCTGGCAGCAAGTTCTGGTTTTTCATCCACTGTACTTTTGCCCTTTCTTTCAGGACTTGAGTCTTGCATGCACATCCATTTTTCAAATTCTCTTTCTTTGACCACTTTCAGCTAGGTCCGTTCACATTTCTGCTCACTTTCCTTTCAGCTATATTTGTGGTGACGTTTTCTGGTCGCGATCTTATTTGATTCTGGATTGTGTTTAATGTTGTCACTTTCTGTTTGTTGTGGTTTCCGCTCTTGCTGTTGTTTTTGTAATCTGGCTGGCCCTGTGCTGCGCTCAAGATGATTGGATGTTGGATCGATTTATTGTCGTATTCCTTGGCTGTTTGTTGTTTCCGGTGAAAGTAGATTGCCTATCCTAATAAGGACCGTCGGTCGATTGACTTGGGCAGGTACTGATGGCTATACTGCTGAGGTCTGGTATTATTTGGCGATTTTTCTCGTATCCTTGTTGTAAAGTACTGCTCCTACATAGGGTTTCGGTAATTTGGCTTTGGTTGTGTCGTATCTGGTATTAGTGTTTGGGGTAACGATGTCGACCTCGTTTGACTTCAAATTTTGGCTGTCGATGTGGTTCCTCTGGTGATGACCAAAAAACATCATCATCCTGCAGTTCTGAGTTATAGAAGTTCGGGTCCTCCATCTCCATGATGCGTTGGTTAATTTGGTCAATTGTTGCCAACGGAAACTGTTTCATCAGCGATGCCTGAGTTTTCTTATCTGGTGTTTGATGCGGCTTTTTCTGGGTCTCGGCTCCCTGTATTTGCTGCCTTCTTGTTGCCTCTTTCCGTGCTTTCTCTCTTTCTTCCATCACTCTGTTGGTTGCTTGCAGTTCCTTGTTAAGTCTGTTGTTTTCTTCGTATGCTCTTCGTAACTTTTCCTCTGTTTCAGCCAGTGCCTTCTTGATCATTGCGATTTCTTTCGCGAGAAGTTGTTGGTTAACCCGCAGATCATTGATGCCCGCCTCGTCTTCCCTTGCCTTAGTTGGTTGTTCCTTTTGTGTCTGGATAGTGGCCAGTGTATTCATGATGTCCTCCTTGAATTTCGTCATCTCTGCTGTCATCCGTTTCTGGGTGTCAAGAGTCGCCTGCATTATAGCTCTCAGGCCTGTTATTTCATCTCTGTCTTCATCTCGTTGGGTTTTGGATGCGTCTTTCTCGTCTCTGAGAGCTTGGATGTCACTTTTGAGTTGAGCCACCTCGTTGCTCAATTTGGTGGTAATGGCTGCGGTTATGCCTTGGGTTGCTTCGTGTCTTCTGCGGGCCTCATGGTATGGAATCTTATCCCGTATGGCCGTGGTTGCAATTTCTCTACATTGTTGCAGATAGGGGCACCCCAGGTACCTGGTGCTGTGCTGGCCGTAGCAGTTGGCGCACTTTCTGTTCGTATTGGGTGACTTAAAGTCTGTGTCCAGCTTTGCCAGCGGGCAATTGTTGAAGGCATGGTGTTGTGAACAGTATCGGCATACTTCATGTTCGCTCACACAAGTGGCCCGGGAGTGCCATGCTTTTTGACAACGAGAGCACTGGATCACCTGTGGCACGTATTGCTCTGGTCTTTGCATTCTTTGATCTAGGTAGACTTTATCCGGGATGTTTTCTCCTTCCGATGTTATCACCGCCACTGGCAATGGATGCCGTTTTGAGCCCAGTCTCTCTGCTTGGTTGATGTTGACATTGGGGTTTTCTTTCCTTATTTGTTGCAGAATTTCTTCGTTGCTCCATTGCAGGTTGACTCTTCGGATCACCCAGCGTCTTACATTCTGGAAGATGGTGGCCGTCACAGTTATCTCCTCGGATAGTCGGAGTTCTTTCTTGCCGTCGTGTTGGATGTCATCCAGCATATCTGAGGTGCGGTTGGTTCTGTTTAGTGAAGCTATCACTCCTTCTCGAGTTCTCCTAATCTTTGCGACTGCCCTCTTGCCTAACATGATCTCCAGCATATTGATCAATGTTAGCGTTGCCAGTGTAGTGATTGCTGTCCGGCCCGAGTTGGTCTGTCGTAGAAATATTGTGGCAGGAAATTCATAGCTGCCTGTCTTTCGTCGATCTGGAGATGTCTGTGGACTTGGCTGTGTTGGTTCAGGTGACGCTGGGACGTCACTCAGGGCCTCACTGGTAGTAGGGGCGTCTTCCTGTGGTTCGGTAGTATCTGTCTGCGTCTTCCTGGCCTCCGAGTTAGATCGAGTGGATCTGTCAGTGGGCTGTTTCCTCTGTCCGTTGCGCTTTCCGTTAGGTTTGTTTCTCCGAGACATGGTGCTTGCGGAGAAGGCCTCTCGCTCTGGCAAATACTTTGTATTGTGTTATGTGAGTTTCAGTCCTATCTGGTGATAATTGCGGAGAAGTCCTCTCGCTCTGCCTATCCTCAAAGGGACCAGCAGGTACTGTATTGTGCAGGTATCAATATCTGATGACAATTGCGGAGAAGTCCTCTCGCTCTGCCTATCCTCCAAGGGACCAGCATATACAGTATTGTGCAGGTATCAATACTATCTGATGATTGGCTGATAAGGTGGAGCCGAAGCTGCTGTTCACATCCATTTTACAGATCTGGCCTATTTATATGCAGACTGTTGGTTCCCCGGCACATCAGGCATATGCACTCTGATTTTTGAGGAAGCACTCAATTAGTCACCTTCTACAGCATGCTGGTTGGGGGGAAGGAGGAAGGGGGAAATAAGTCTAACCCCCCCCCCCCCACCCCCACCCCCACACCCCCCCACCCTCCATATTGGGCCTCAGAACCCACACAGGGAATATTCCTTTTGAAAAGCATAGTTTTACAATATGTTTCTATAAAAGATATATAACTGTAAAACAATTTCAGATCTAGCGTAGTAAAATAGTTTAGACATCAAAATATCCATCCCGGAAGCAATTGTTTAGGTCAAACTAGATCTAATGATTCATCTACAACAAAAACAATGGTCAATTCTTAAACAACTGTGCAGAAATGTACAATCACCAGTGATATGTTCACTGCAGTAAATACACTGAGTAAAACAACTAGTTATACGACATGAAAGTGTCACTGCTTGTCGTCAGGAAATGTCCGGGCCTGAAGATCAAGGACATGGCAGTGATGGCCCAAAGAGACAGCTACGGTACACTGCATCAGCATGAAGTCTGGTCCTCTAGTGTATACAGCCGTTCAACAGATGTCCGTGTCCCATGTGTTTCAACAGATCCGCTGCTTCTTTCTGGGACTGTGGACAAGGATTCAAACAAATAAAATCTCAAGTTCATATGGGGTTACAGCTTAAAGCATGATCCATTTCCATTAGGCCACAATCAAAACATCCACATCCATCATACAACAAGTAAAATGTTGTAGGTATCCATTACATGACAAGTAAAATGTTACCCAACATTTAATGCATATGCCAAGCAAAATGTTAACCATTTAGTAAATGATAAGTAAAATGGTATCACCATTTATCACATGACTAAAATATCACCCATATCTACAACATGACCAAAGAACTGTTACCATGATCCATCACAGGACAAGTGAAATGTTATCCACATCCATCACATGACAAGTAAAAACAATGTTATCCACATCCATTACTTGACAAGTTAAATGTTATTCATATCTACCACATGACAAATGAAATGTTATCTATATTCCTCACATGACAAGTGAAATGTTATCCATATTCCTCACATGACAAGTGAAATGTTATCCATATTCCTCACATGACAAGTGAAATGTTATCCATATTCCTCACGCGACAAGTGAAATAGTATCCATATTCCTCACATGACAAGTGAAATGTTATCCATATTCCTCACATGACAAGTGAAATGTTATCCATATTCCTCACGCGACAAGTGAAATATTATCCATATTCCTCACATGACAAGTGAAATGTTATCCTTATTCCTCACATGACAAGTGAAATGTTATCCATATCTACCACATGGCAAGTGAAATGTTATCCATATCTACCACATGTCAAGTGAAATGTTATCCATATCTACCACATGACAAGTGAAATGTTATCCATATCTACCACATGACAAGTGAAATGTTATCCATATCTACCACATGGCAAGTGAAATGTTATCCATATCTACCACATGGCAAGTGAAATGTTACCCATATTCCTCACATGACAACCAGTTTTATCCCATGTGGCTTGTCTTCCCTCCATGGAGTATTTGGTCACCTACAACAGGTTTAAACACTGAGTAAACTCTCTAGCTCCAGAGAACGCCTTACCCCGGATCCTGCACTTGCAGGTTGAATTTTGAGAACTGAACTCACAACCTTCAAAGTACAAGCTATTTGGTTTGACCACTTCACCAGAGAGAACCTGTTTTACAGCAATCAGCAGAAACTTTACAGAACATTGGTCTTGTCACGGCACGCCTGCAAGCCTCGCTTTCTCTAGCCAATTCTCCAGCCATATGTGCTTTCTCTAGCCAATTCTCCAGCCATATGTGCTTTCTCTAGCCAATTCTCCAGCCATATGTGCTTTCTCTAGCCAATTCTCCAGCCATATGTGCTTTCTCTAGCCAATTCTCCAGCCATAATGTGCTTTCTCTAGCCTATTCTCCAGCCATATGTGCTTTCTCTAGCCAATTCTCCAGCCATATGTGCTTTCTCTAGCCAATTCTCCAGCCATATGTGCTTTCTCTAGCCGATTCTCCAGCCATAATGTGCTTTCTCTAGCCGATTCTCCAGCCATAACGTGCTTTCTCTAGCCAATTCTCCAGCCATAATGTGCTTTCTCTAGCCAATTCTCCAGCCATAACGTGCTTTCCCTAGCCAATTCTCCAGCCATAATGTGCTTTCTCTAGCCAATTCTCCAGCCATATGTGCTTTCTCTAGCCAATTCTCCAGCCATAATGTGCTTTCTCTAGCCAATTCTCCAGCCATAACATGCTTTCTCTAGCCAATTCACCAGCAATATGTGCTTTCTCTGGCCAATTCTCCAGCCATAATTGCTTTCATAGCCAAGGCATCTATATTGTATCCACCTTCGCGGAGGTCTGCCTCTGCCCTTTTTTCCAAAAACCGCACCCTCCATCACCATTCTCTCCAGGCTACCAATCGCAAAAAATATTGCATTCTAAAGTTTAGAGAGTTCTTGAAAATGATATCATGAACCTGCTCAATTTATTTTGTTGACCCCCAGGGGTTGACAGAACCACCAAACTGGAGAGATTTACTTAAGACAAATATGCCCTGGAGAAATACAACCAGCAACTACCTGTTCATCGTCTGGGGTCTTAACATGATAGTCGGCTGCCTTCTTCAAGTACTCCACGGCTTTCTCTTTATTGTGGATGCGCAGGTAGGACTTGGCAATCATCAAGAGGTTTGTGCACATAAAATTCTCTTGCACTGAGAATACATGAATATATTTTATTGTGGGCAACTAGAATTATACAGAATGTACACATAATATAAGAAAGTCAGTGTGGTGTGGTGGCTAGATGTTTACCTGTGGATCTGAAGGTCGTGGGTTCAAAAGCGAACGGAGCCAGTTTTTTTTTTTTTTTATGAACATGGCACCCAGGTTGAGCCAGCCTAAAATGGGTACTAGGGTAAGTCCTGGGAAGTAAAGTCAGCTGGAATTATGTTGACCAAATCACCAACAGTGTGCCAATTGAATAAAGGTCTTTAAAAAGAAAAAAATACAGGCTATGGCAACAATGGGTGCTCGGGCGCCTATAATAACTAACAGTCTGCACACAAATAACCTATATCTGTCAAATGGGCGTGCATGGAAAACTCAAGTCCTGGGACAAGACCGAAGTCTAGAAGTAGACAAGCAACCAGAACCAGAACAATACACACGGGCGTCCGGAATCGCTACCCAGAGACCAGGGGAAATCATCAGAAGCCCACTTTAAAAATCCTAGCCTTCATCGAGTTTTGAACCCGGGACCTCCAGCACTCGAACGGACACTATACCCCGTCAGACCCCCCATATTTCTATATGATTTGTATTGTCAAAGTACCGAATGTTTTTTTTTTTTTTGCAACAACTATAAATGTACCTAATTTTTGCAACACTAATAAATGTACCTCATTTTTAAAATGATCATGAGTATAAATTTAAAAAAAAAACCTTTGACTTACTTTCTTCTGCTTTCAAGAACCACTCCAGCGCCTAAAGAAAAACAAGAACAAGAACTGTAAGTCAGGTAAATCAATAAGTAAAATGACAGATCAACACAGTTGAACGTGTATACATGTTTTTCTTCTTCTTGTTGCATTCATCAGCTGTAAACTTCTGGTTGTTCAGATACTCTGAGACTTTAACCTTGTCTCAGAACATGAGTTCTGCATACACATTCATTTTCCAGATATGGCTTATTTATATGCAGACTGTTGGTTCCTCACCTCTTTATCATTATGGTCTGAGGAGAATGGCAATGCGAGGAGTGACAAGGGGATCTGGGTGATGCTCAACATTCAGGAGAAAGACAAGACGGATATACAATTAAATAGTTACTGGTACCATCGGAATTGTAACTCTTCACTTGCTGCTGAAGATGGGGTCTGATCACTTATGGGGGTGTCACGCTTGCTGTGATGTTGATTCTTAATTCAACATTCAACTATCAGGCGGACACCCACAAAACGCAAAGAAAACATCCCAAAATGTTCACCTTGTATAACATACTGTTAAGGGGCCGTATTTTGTTTCTGTTTTTCGTTGAGAACCCAGATAAGGAGTACATATATAATGCAGGTAATGGCCTGTTAGTTTCGGGAGCCCATAAAGGAAGTTAATGACAGCAACACTGAAACCTAATATGTATGTTGTACAAGCGAACTAAGAAGGGTTGGCATGCAGCTGGATACTTCAACGTATAGAAAACTACTACTACTTCTTTTCTTTCTCCAGTTCCTTCAGTGAAATGTTGAGAAATGTCAGAATCTTCGGTGTACTATTTTTAATGTACTGCACAGGTAACCATTTCTGTAACATGGTCTCACTAAAAAGCTATCAAACTGATATTTCCAGCTGGGTCCAATACCCCATAAAAGCCGCTTTACCGACTCGCTCTAGTGATGTGTTCATGAGAAGCATAGCCATCAGCACTGCTATTGTACGCACTGTGCAAATGTTTACGAGCACCAAAAATAGATATTAAAAACAACATTTAAAGTTTTCTTGTGAAGAAATCGCTTTAATTTTTAAAACAGAAATTGTGATGTCATAATTGCCAAGTAGTCACAATGGTCCCTCGGCGACCAGGCTAGGAGATCAAGTATGAGTCGCCCTATCAATGGTTTTAATGGTCAAAAGGAGGTTATTCTCTTCATTCTGCTACATTTGTGTTTACTAACTACTTTTCTTATTCTGTACAAAACTTAACATGATTTTGGTATATAAATGGGGAACAGTAACTATTTTTCTTGCAACCTTTGTAAAACCTTTTTTTTTTAAAGGTATTATTTCTGAGAATTTCGGAAATTCCAGAAATACAGGTAATTTCGTCTAGGTCACCCCCCACACACACTTGCTGTCATCGTACACACACTTGCTGTCATCGGCAATGAAATTCTAATGGTTTCACCCCATACACACACTTGCTGTCATCGGCAATGAAATTCTAATGGTTTCACCCCATACACACACTTGCTGTCATCGGCAATGAAATTCTAATGGTTTCACCCCGTACACACACTTGCTGTCATCGGCAATGAAGTTCTAATGGTTTCACCCCATACACACACTTGCTGTCATCGGCAATGAAATTCTAATGGTTTCACGCCATACACACACTTGCTGTCATCAGCAAAGAAATTCTAATGGTTTCACGCCATACACACACTTGCTGTCATCGGCAAAGAAATTCTAATGGTTTCACGCCACACTCATCAACAAACAGATAACATGCTTCTGATGCATGTGAAAAGTGGGCTGGTCATCTTGAAGATGTCATTATGAGTGAGGTCAAAGTGTTTGCATAGTGATGTCAGGTTACAAGACAACAGCATGGCTATGTCACTGATAAAACATTTTAAAGGTTTTCATTTGAAGCACCCCGTATACAAAAAATTTGTAATAAACCAACCACTGTGGAAATCTGACCCTGGTATTCATCCATCAACTAAATTAAGCATAAAAAAGTTGGGTATTTCATTTTTTTTTACATGTATACATAAACCTACCTCTTCATATGTTGTTTCAGGTAAGGCTCCAAACAGTGCAGAAGCAATCTTCCGCTGGTACCAAGGTCGTTCAGCGAATGTAAAGCACCAATATCCAATAGAATGAAGGGAGATGACATCGGTGGGGTCTAGTGCTAAAGCATTCTGTGTGAGTATAGTCAAGGTATTCATTAGTACAAGGTATCAGACTGTGGAGACAACAAGGTCTCAGGCTGTGGAGACAACAAGGTCTCAGACTGTGGAGACAACAAGGTCTCAGGCTGTGGAGACAACAAGATCTCAGACTGTGGAGACAACAAGGTCTCAGGCTGTGGAGACACAGCGTCTCAGACTGTGGAGACACAAGGTCTCAGACTGGAGACACAAGGTCTCAGACTGTGGAGACACAAGGTCTCAGACTGTAGAGACACAACAAGGTCTCAGACTGTGGAGACACAACAAGGTCTCAGACTGTGGAGACACAACAAGGTCTCAGACTGTGGAGACACAACAAGGTCTCAGACTGTGGAGACACAACAAGGTCTCAGACTGTGGAGACACAACAAGGTCTCAGACTGTGGAGACACAACAAGGTCTCAGACTGTGGAGACACAACAAGGTCTCAGACTGTGGAGACACAACAAGGTCTCAGACTGTGGAGACACAACAAGGTCTCAGACTGTGGAGACACAACAAGGTCTCAAACTGTGGAGACACAACAAGGTCTCAAACTGTGGAGACACAACAAGGTCTCAAACTGTGGAGACACAACAAGGTCTCAGACTGTGGCGACACAACAAGGTCTCAGACACAGATCAATCAGTATAGATAATCACATCATCCGGGTGGGACTTTTGAGAAACCAATTGTTGAATGTCTGATACTGCAGTGTCTGCTGGCAAATTTGTGCACTCCTAGCCAGGTGTGTTTAGACATAAGGTTAAAAAAGAATCAACAGCTGTTGTGACTGAGTTGTTTGTGATCTTGCCTGAAATAAGAGGCAGCATCTCCTATGTACTACCCTGCACAACTCTTGGACCTACCCCTCACAGTGACATGATCTGAGAACATTTTGAACAATAAATAACAGCAACAGACATCAACATGAAACAATCATACAATAAAATTACAGATAATAAACACAAATATCAAATAAAAACCCCAATACAGACATCATAATAAAAACCCTGATACAAACATCATCATTAAAACCCTGATACAAACATCATCATAAAAACCCTGATACAAACATCATAATAAAAACACTGATACAAACATCATAATAAAAAAAACCAAGACAAAGATGAAATCTTAAAGTTCACCTGTTGTAAACTCTGGCTGTTAGTCCGATTCTAGGTGATCTGACCTTGTTCCAGAATTTGAGCTTTGCATGCACATCTGTTTTACAGATCAGGCTTATATGTGTAGAGACTGTTGGTTCCTCACCTCTCAGGCAGATGTACTCCAACTTCAAAGGAGACATTCCTAATTAGTCGCCTTGAACAATGTACTTGTTCTCAGGTTGCTGGGTCTAATTCTTCGTTCCTCTCCAAAACAGGACATTGAAACATACACGGGAAATCAAAAGCACATATAATACATACGTCAAAGTGTTCCCGGACTTTGTATGCTGTCTGTATTTTGTGTTTCACTCCAATGCCATCAGTGGTAAAGTACAGCAGAGCCCCATACCACTGCAGGAAATACAACATTATTATTCCAACAGTAGGTACGTCAATACATCAATCTTATACATGTGTGTGAAATACAGTTAGCTGGTCTGTCTGTCAGTTACCCGTGTGAGTTCCAGGGCCCCATACCACTGCAGGCAATACAACATTATTATTCCAATGTTAGGTATCTCAATACATCGATCTTATACACGTGTGTCAAATACAGTTAGCTGATCTGTCTGTCAATTCCTCGTGTGGGTTCCAGGGCCCTATTGTGGGTAAAACAAAAAAGACCGTACTGGGGACTTCCTTCGAAGCCAAAGGTCATCTGTCCAAGCAGCAAGGAACAACCAACTGCAGACAAATAAGCCAGTAAAACAGATGCAAACGCAAAACACAGGCCCTGGCACAAAGCTGAACTGCAACTGGTCGAACAACCAGGACTTTGCACAGGAGTCTACAACCGGTGAACAAAGAAGAAGAAGTGTGTCAGTCAGTTCACTGGCTGGTCAGTGGGTGGGTCAGTCTGTCAGTCGATAAGTTGGTTGATTGTCATGGATGTGTTTTATTCCCCTCTCCGTTGCTGTTTATCACATTTAATGATCAAACTGGTAGAGCATGAGTACCGTAAGCACAATGAACAAACTGGTAGAGCATGAGTACCGTAAGCACAATGAACAAACTGGTAGAGCATGAGTACGGTGAGCACAATGAACAAACTGGTAGAGCATGAGTACGGTAAGCACAATGAACAAACCCATCAAAGGAAATACAGAGGAAGAGCTACAAAGACACCTGGATAATCTACACATTGTAGCAAAACACAAAATGTGAAAATAAACACGGGGGGGGGGGGGGGGGGGGGGAGAGATAGAAGTTATGACCATTGCAAGAACAGAATTACTAATCAAAATATGCATTTAAAAACAAAAAACCCAAGCAAGCAATAGATTTCAAGTATCTATAGAGCAAAATTTTCACATACATTTAAAAAACAGGAGACTTATAAAATATAGGTCTAGCCCTTTGTGCCCTATACACCTTGAGGCGTTGAAAAGGGTCCTTTACTATGAGAACAATGATACAAGTTTAACTCACCCTATGAGAACAATGATACAAGTTTAACTCACCCTATGAGAACAATGATACAAGTTTAACTCACCCTATGAGAACAATGATACAAGTTTAACTCACCCTATGAGAATATGGACACAAGACTGACCGACCCTATGAGAACATAGACACAAGCCTGAGCAACCCTATGAGAACATGGACACAAGACTGACCGACCCTATGAGAACATGGACACAAGACTGACCGACCCTATGAGAACATGGACACAAGACTGACCGACCCAATGAGAACATGGACACAAGACTGACCCACCCTATGAGAACATGGACACAAGTCTGACCTACCCTGTGACAATGTGGACTGTTTGAGTTCATTTCTAAGGCCTTCTCAGCGTAAGAGAAAGCCTCCATCATCCAGTTGTGTCTCTTGTGTTTGTCTTTTTCATGTTTGGCCTTATCATGCGTCACTCTGGCCAGGCGCCATTGGATTTCATCATTAGACACATCTGTACAATCAATTCAATCATCAGTACAATCAAATCCATTACCAGAAATCTGTACAATCAGTACAATCAATTCAAAAACATCAGTACAATCGTTATAAATACATCAATACTACAATCCTTATAAACACATCAATACAATCATTACATACATGCTGCTACAATCAAATAAAACAAGGGTACAATTAATACAAACAACAGTATCATCAATACACACATATTATAACAATAAATAGAAACACAATGGTACAATCAATACAAACACAATTGCAAAATCAATAAAAACAAAACAGCAAAATCAATACAATCAACACAAAATCAATTCAAACACAATGGCACAATCAATACAAACAACAGCACAATGAATACAAACAACAACATAATCAATAAAAACACACCGCACAATAAACACAACACAATCAATACAAACACAACGGCAAAATCAAAATAACACAATGGCACAATCAATACAAACACAACAGAACACAGAAGCTCTTACAATAGGAGTTCTACTACCGTCTGTATTTACTACATCTGTGGTGTAGGCGGGTGGGGTCACTGACCCTGGGGTTTAAGGGTCACGTGATTCTGCAGGTTAGGATCTTATTTTTGCCCCAGACAGACAAATCCTATAACGTTACTGATAATTCGAACTGAGGTCACATAAAGATCACAAACTATAAATAAAATAATCTTTATAATTTTCTGGAAATTGTCTGGGAAGCAAAGGTGATGAGGAAGAAATTAGCTATCCCACCTCATATCCCTTGCCATGGCCTAAAATACACTGAAATGTCTGCAGGAAATGTGACAGCAGACCACATTAAATGCACTGATTCTGATTAATATTATGAGCACTGATTGTTCAGTAAGCAATGGCAAACTAATCAGTGTTAAACTGCCTAAAAAAATCACAAACTACCAACAAACGCTGGAGTTGTGTGACATCCTTTAAATGATATACACATAACTTTTCTGTTAAACATTAACCACTATATTATTATCATTGCAGCTGGTATTTTGTCACTATTACCCTTGGCTCTCAGGTCGAGCCAGGAGAAAATGTCCTGGGAAGTAAGGGCGGCCTGCATAATGTTGACCACATTACCTATCAGGTGCCGAGTGGTTTACAGAAATACAAATCTAGCACTATAAGTCTGATGTTCTTTTTCTTTCTTCTTTTCTCTACTGCTAGAATGCCTGCCAGCGTAATGGCAGGAAGAGATCTCTGGAACAGGCCCTTCTGTTCACTTCGTATAAAGTACTTTTCAGTGTCTCTGATATTTCTGCGGTCCACTTGCTGAGTGGTTGACCTCTTGCTCTGTTACCGTTTTATCTGTATAGCACTGCTCTCTGTGGGGCTCTGTCTGAAGCTAATCTTGTTACATGGCCAAACCATTTGATTTGTTGCCGACCTGTGAGATCTCTTCGTTTTCCGATGCTCTGGATGTGTGACAAAAGGACCCTGTTTTAAGTATGATCCCAGTAAACAACGTGCATTCCTGAAAACAGACCATTTTAAATATAAATACTGTTGTTCTTCTCCAGTCCTGTTCTGCCCTTCAGCATCAGGTTTTGAAGAGGCATACGGTGAGAGCATTGGTATGTGCTATGCAGATGCTGCTATTAATGGCCTTGGATATTCCATCCATCCATCACTTGCATGGTCGACCTCTGGATCTGCTCCTGTTGGGTCTAGGTGACAAGGTTCTCAGTAGTACACTACCCGCTGGTATTCATGAGGCATGTCTGAGCCATTTGATCCGTTGTCTCTTGATGTAGTTTAGTACTGGTTCCATCTGAACTTCATTCCTGATATCCTCATTCCTGATCCTGTCTCTACCAGTTACACTTAGGATTCACTGGAGACAATGAACACAAAGATAAAATACAACATGACCTGGAAGGCTTACAAGGGTCAACAAATGCCTGCAGAAGTCAGATGTTTTGGCCAAAAGGTTCAAATATCATTGCTGTAAACAGGCACAATGCAATTATATCTTCACACGAACACAGAAGAAATAAATACAACATGTAGGAGATGACAAGCTGAGGTTACCTTTGTATGGGAGAAGATGCTCATAGAGTTTGTCTGTCTGATAAGTCTTGTACAGTTCATCAGCTGCTTCAATAATGTCCTGCATGGCTATCTTGTGATGTTGCTGAGACACTGAACACACGTACTTGTCTGTAAGTAACAAGAGCCAGTTTCACACTTAAAATTTCTTTCTTCTTCTGCCTGGGCAGGTTGCAAAAATAGTTAATTTATTTAAAGCCAAGAAAGAAGAAGAAAAAGCGGCATGCAACAATGTGTTGTGGTTTAGAGCAACTGATTAAATTTAACACAACCCACAAGATGAGCTGTAGATTACGTGTAAAAGAGCACAGCCGCTGGAAAAAGGTGTGGTCCTATCATCATACACTAGACTCACACACAAACGGATGGATTATATGCATTATATGTGTTTAACAAGTGGATGGACTTCAGTAACTGCTCTCTATTTGTAGTAAACATGTCAGCGAAATTAATTACATTTCGATTTTTTTCGTCGTGATAGAGGATTTAAATTCATAAATTGCACAGTGCAAACTAAACAGCTGTGGTGACAGTTGAGATTCTCAGAGTAGTAAATATCTACCGGCTCCCTTTAAATTTAAATAATAAAATAAAAAAAAGCTTTATAATTTAATTTACTGTACAATGTGATAAAAATGTAAGTAAGTCAATTTCACAACATGTATAAACTGTCATAAAGGAGTCTGTTACCCTATTGATGGCTTCTACCAGGAATGAACTGTTTTTCTGTCGCAAACTGCTTCAGTAATTCCGTGAAAGATGTCAAGCTTGACTGAATTTGATGAACAGATTTGTATCCTCCTAGTCCTAGCTCCGTGCGTTCATACTTTATCCTTGATTCTCACTCACATTCGGCCAACACCGGCTTTCTGAGATTCTTGGTCAATTTACAGCATATTCTATTGTATTCTAATCGTATTATTAGGCTAATGTCGTTCTGTGTATACGTTTTGTAGCCGCAATGCCAGCAATCATGTCCAATGATCGACCCGAAGTGAAAATTTCACCAGAGGTTTCTTCTTGTCGTCTGCCCTGAGCAGTGTTGCCACTTTTCTTTGACAAAAAATATCCAAAACGGTGTCAAAAAATATCTAAAAAGATCTAAATCTGCGTGGAAAAGATCTAGGAAAAAATATCCAAATTGAAAAAGTCAAAAATTACATAGCTTTTGTTATGACGTACCCTACATAATCATGTCCTCACCTTTACTGATGTCTACCTCACAAGATCAACAGGATAAACTTAGCTTGGATAATGAAGTTGAAGCTTCAGATCCAAAATGACCCTGGTATGCTTTAGCTGTTCAAATTTCTTTATAAGTGGAACAGTAGGCTTATTTCTCTAGTCTCATTGGGCCGAATTGTAATGGCACGATAGCATTTAAGAGACAAATGATTTGGAAAACCAGTAAAGTGTTTCAGCAAAAAGGTATTCCAAATTCCTTGGTAAATATTTAGATGAAGCATGTGATAATGCTAGCTGCAATGAATGACGCATACATTTTATAAGTATTAACAATGGGTTAAATCATGAAATCAGACGAATGCTAGGAATAAAGCCAGTCTTACAGGTCATCAAAGAACAACAAATGAAATGGTTTGGACACCTAACAAGAATGCCCTGGTACTATCTGCCACAGCGAGCCACACTAAAACGTTACAACGGGTATAAAGCGAGTGGAAGACCTCGGGAAATATGGGGTGATGGCATTAAGAACAGCCTTACAGAAATGAACATCAGTCTTAATAGTGCTCTTGACAGAGCTCATCAACGAACATTACATCTCCCCCCGACACTTCGATGAGGTACAAGGTGGAAGAGAAGAAGAAGAAGAAGAACAATAGGTTAGCTTCCTTCAACTTGGCATAAACGCCATTGTTTATACCAACCATCACTAAGGCATTATCAGTACCAATTACAGCCAAATTCTTCAAGCCTAACTGTTTGCTGATTAAAAGGTCCTTCAGTTCCTAAACTATACTTTCTACATCACACTTTTCAAATTAAACTAATCCAAGATTTTTTACAAATCGATCAAATGGTCACAGTTTGAAATTGCGCAGTGACAAATTAAAAACATTCCGACTGATACTTCAACTTTTGATGATTCATTTATCAGTATAGTTCTGAAAAAAGATGTCAGCGGTGTAATATCTTTAAATGAAACTGCAGTTTTATGCTTTTTTTTAGTCTCTGCATGACTCTTTGAGTTTTGTATTGTCGCTTTAATTTCACACTTGCAGTACTTACAACAAGCTTTGGTTATATACCCAGTTTTTAATTTTGTCATCATGCAACCACTCTTTCCAAATGTTTTGCTCATACTTTACTTTTGGCATAATGAAAGGTTTTTTCAAAGTGAAAGCCACATAAGAAGGTTTGCAATAATTTTTTTTTTAATCACATGAAAAAAGAAACGCTAAGTCAGCACAGTGATGACACGGTTGAAACAAAGTTAGTATGATTTTTTATTAATCAGTACCGGGGCTGCCAGATATTTATTTTACACAGTAGTTATTAAATTGACAATGAAAGAAAGAAAAAATCTATAAAATATCTAACTCCATATGAAAAGTATCTAGAAAAATATTTACGATCTAAACGTCAAAAACAGTATCTAAATGCAATGAAAAAGATTTAAATTTGGATATAAAAGATCCAAAGTGGCAACACTGGCCCTGAGTTTACACAGTCCAGATTTTTGGTGTCGGGCTGCCGAAGCTGACCACTACTCAATTACTTTTCTACAATGTCTGTCATGATCACAGCCGAAATCAAAGCAAAATGTGAAACAGTACAGATTACATTGTGGTCATTTAAATAATTACATGATATTTACATTTAAAATATCAAATACATACTCTGAGAACTCATTTAACACTATATATCACAATTATAACCCTGAGGGTTGAACAGGATTTTTTTTTTAAATTACTACTACTCTTCTTTTTTTTTTCGTTTCCACCTTGTACCTCAGCGAAGTGTGAGGGGGGGGGGGATTTAACATTCGTTGATGAGCTCTGACAAGAGCACAATTAAGATTAATGTTCATTTATGTAAGGCTGTTCTTTATGCCATCATTGCATATTTTCCGAGGTCTTCCACTCGCTCTATAGCCTACCCGTTGTAACGTTTCAGTGTGGCTCGCTGTGGCAGATAGTACCAGGGCATACTTGTTAGGTGTCCAAACCACGTAATTGGTTGTTCTTTGATGACCTGTAAATTGGCTTTGTTCCTATAATTCGTCTAACTTCGCGATTTCGTATTCTGTCTTCCCCTGAAACTCCTGCAGCTTTTCTAAGGCATTTCATCTCTGTTGTCACAATTTGAATTACTACTACTATTGCTACTTAATTACTGATTTAAGAATCGACGTCATAGCACACCGGGCATAACATTGGGTGTTTCGTCTCCCGCAGCAAACACATTAAAGTGTCGATGCTAACTGTTTCAGTAGAACACTAATGATAAACTCGTTGTTTTCTTCCTCTCGCTCCTTGTCTGGCCCACATCTTATAACTTGTTCACACATTATTACACATGTTACGTCATTTACCGCATGTCTGTTAAGATTATTTGTTCATAAATAGTCTTTAGAATGTCTTCTTTGTCCAGTACGAATATTCCCCTGGCTATCGCCTTTTGCAGCCGGATAATCCGCTCTTCCATTTCCTCTAGTGTTAAGTAAATGATATGTTGGTTTATTATCATGGTCACACTTTCTTTGTTAATACTTAGGATGTTTAATGTATAGGTTGTGATTAAATTAGAACCAACGTTACAGCACTCCTGGCATTCCCTTAAGCGCTTCGTCCCCGTTTTCAGCAGCCACCCTAGATTTATCATTGCTATTGTACCAGTAGCAGTCTGATCGTGTGTCCGCCCTTCCTCTTCCCTGAGTGTTGAGTATAGACCACATCCAGTGTATACCTATATTGTTAGCAGTAAAAGTAGCAGCAGGAGAAGCAGTTGTAGTTGCTACCGCCGTTTTCCCCTTAATACTCCTGGTAAAAATACTGAATTAAGAATCAACATCACAGCACTCGGGACACGCCCGTAAGCGCTCGGTCCTTATCTTAAGCAGCAAGTGAAGAGTTCCAATTCCGATGGTACCAGTAATTGTCTGATTATATATCCGTCTCGCCCCTCCCCTGAGTGTTGAGCGTCGGCCAGATCCCCTGGTAACTCCTCGCAGCGCCATTCTTCTCAGACCGTAATGGTCTGTTTGTGCCTCTACACTGTTCACTCGCTCCCAGACAGCCCTCACAAAATATAGCTTGTCATACATAAATTCACCATCAGGTAGTGCAGAATCGGCTGGCATATCTACCTGTTCATTTTCAAACACACTGGTATGATCTGAAGAAAATATCCAAAAGACGCTAACTACCCGAGACCTTTGAAGTGATGCTTGCCCATCTGCACGAAGCATGCCTGTCTTCATCTTTCTCAACATGCTCTGTCAAGTCAGTGACAATCACGGCATGTATGTGCTGCTGATTCTCAAGCCAGCGGAAGGCAGCAGTGACTGCTTCCACTCTATTCTCACACAAGACGTTTGCGATATCATGTCCATTGCATATGTAGTGTACACTCTTTAAATCACGATATTGGTCATCGTTTTATACCGTACACACACACACACTATAAACTCGTAAATACTGTAACTGTGATAATCGTTTTGTTTACCAAGCGGAAGTCACCCATCCTTACACCCATCAGAACAGAATGGGCCGGTTGTTAGCCTAAAAACACTTGGAGACATATTCAGGAGGAGATCGGAGCAGTAATGGTCATGTCCGATTTGCGATGAAGATGATCTTTAAATGAACAATTAACTGTTTTGCGTAATTTATCTTTGGAAATATTTAAATCTTAACTGAACTCAATTCAAACAACAAATGCTAAATCTGGACACCAAGGATGACGTCATGTCAGTTGATGGGGAGATCAGACCACCGCGTTTATAGCATAGGTCATTTAACAATTCAGTTTGTTCAGGTGTTACAACACAAGTGAAAAAGAGCGTAGCCAAACTTGAACGTGAAATAATTAATCAGTTTGCTC